GCATTACTGCCACCTACTGGCATGGAGTTCAGATAAGGATTATGAAAGTCTCACAAACTCAGAGGCTGCATCACATGTAAATAGTTCATTTAATAAACAACAAAAGCAATGTCATTTGCTAGTTGTTCATTCCATGAGCAAGATCATGAGCTTCATGTTTTCCATTAAGCTAAAAATTTAAACTTTACTAAATCAAGTGCATTAGGCTGTCTGAGTACTACACACAATAAGATCTGTACAGATTTCTCATCCCCAAAGCTTTTACGGACAGCTGCACAGATAGTATTAAGGAGGATGGTTCATCATTCTATAATGTACTAATGTAAGATTATTGTCACCTAAGCATGCACTATACAGCTGTATCATATAGGAACAATTTGTATAATAAAAATAAATATAGAAAAGATTGGCGGATTCTTAACATCAAAAGACTTAGATCATTATCAGGAGCAAATAAATGTTATAGTGACATCACTACTTTTGACTGAGCTTTTTGACTTTCCAAAGAAATAGATCATATTGTTACCAATTCAAACAGAGGCCCTGGATTAAGCCCCTTAATGCCTTAGGCTCAGTAGTTGCATGCAGTAATCCACCCATATTCAAAAGGCATTGTGCAGCCTTTTCAATCACTATTCATAATGTCATTGCAGCAGACATATTCAAAAAGCCGATATTGTGCTGAAAAATATATTAATTACTTGCTTGTACATTACATTACTGAATTATTACAAACTTTTAGTGAGAGATCCAAGGCAGCAGTAATATGGAAAAAAATGGCCAAGAACCCACACTGTCAAGTCAGAAACATTCATATAATCTGATGCATGTGACTTGTAGCATGAGTGTAATGATGGTTCCTTTGGGTTCAAAAGTGCTCTGACTCCTGCGTACGATAAAAACATCATATCCATTCAAAACTGCATGGTCAGAAAATATGCAGCAATGAGAGTGTTAGGAGTACATCTAAATTGTCCTGCTGAGTCATGTTACTGAACGATTTCACTCTCCTCTCTTTCAGGTGATCTGCTCCTCCTGGTAGGTGGAGGTGGAGATGGAGCCGTAAGGATCCACCACCGTCTGGGCGCATCGCACCACCGTCACCAGCAGGAAGAAACACAGGAGGAAGAGGAAGAAGAGAGCAAAACCCAGGTCCACGTCCACCTCGAACTGTACCGCAGGGTGAGAGGGCTGGTCCATGTGGGCGATGATGACTGCTGATCAGCTGTTTCTTCCCCTTGTCAGTTCAGCGCCACCAGGTTAGAGACAGTACAAGTGTGTGCACATGGGCTCTTGAGATAATGGTGATGACTTCATGCCAGAAATACAAATCAGAAAGACATACAAAGGTGAAGAAGGTTAAACTTGAGACACAACACAGCTCTTGTGTGTTGAAGCATTGTCTTGGGTATCAGTGGTGGAAGACGTATTTGATGGGGAGTTTAGTTCAGTGGTTCCCAACTTAGGGCTCGGGCCCTTCACATGATAAAATGCTGTAAGATGATTAATAGGAGATGAAAAAAGAAAAAACAAAGCTCTGCTAGACAAAATTTGGATACATTTTTTTGTCAATTCCATAATTGCTTTTTGTGATATACTGCTAACAACTCATAGAGATCTGAAACATGAAAAGGGGTCACAATACAAAAAGGTTGGGAGCCACTGGTTCAATCTTAACAATGCACTGCATTTCATGAATTAACCATGTTTGTTTTCATGTAAAATCTTCATTTGTAATATTATGAGTAACACGAACGAGAGACGAGTGAGTTGAAGTGCAAAGTATTGTTAACTAGAAATACTGAAGTAAAACACAAATACCAGACAACTGTACTTAAGTACAGTATTTGAGTAAATCTAACGCACAGATGTGAGTGGTATATACTCATACTCAAACGTCTCATTACATGAATTCCACACAGATCTGGCTTAAATAGCTATTTGATGTTATAATGAAAACAGTGCTGTTTGTCAACTTTGCTCATGAGATATAAAATTTCAGATTGTGGATTGCGTGCTGGAAATTCAGGGGCAGCGATTTTTTTTTTCCTATCAGTTAATTTCCTCATCATTTGGTCTGTGAAATATCAGAAAATACTGAAAAATAATATATGATATTCTATTCAAATTGCTTGTTTTGTGCGACCAATAGTTATAAACCCCAAAATATTTAGTTTAAAATTACATAAGACAAAGAAAAGTTCACATTTTTAGAAGCTTGAACCAGAGAAAAATTTGCTTTTTTTGCTTAAAAATTACTTTAAAATAACACTGATTGCCAAAACAATCGCAGAATAACTTAACAATAACTGAAGTAATTTATTCATTGTAAAGATATGATCTGAAACTCACCATCCTTCCTGTATTAGTCACCCAGGTGTTTGCTGCTGCAGAGCCTTGCCATCACCTGTCCAAAACTTTGAATATAGCATCTCTGTCTTGATTCCCTCTGAGGTTCCTTATTACTCGAGTTACATCAGACGCTCATCAGTTACCAAAGTCTTAACTGTTCTCTTCTTGTCATGATCATCCCAGGAAAAATGAGCAGCCCACAAATTAGCTCTTGCACACACACACACACACACACACACACACACACACACACATACCCTTGCATATACTTGCACCTTGCGACCTCCCCTTGGCATGTAAAGCCTTTATTAATACTTAAGCAGGAATTGAATAACGGTCTACACAGCTCACAAGTGAATCAAACACCCCACAGCTTTTGTTCTCCTGTCAGGAGGAGCTTCATCGCTGTCACCAATTAGACTTCACACCACCAGAACTCAGGCACCTTAGGCGACACTGGGCTTATTCATTACATGAGGCTGAATAGGCAACAGAGGAAGGAAGGGAAAATGTAATGTGAAAGCAAAGGCAAAGATTTAAAGAGGAGGGGTAAGACAGGACGGGGGGGGGGCTTTTGCGTGGAAAGGAAAGCACAGACACTGGAGCAGGAGAAACAGGAGATGCATTAGCAATTAAATTGTGGAGCCAGATGCGAGAGCAGGGTGGAAATTGACCCTGCCGCTTTAAAATGGAGATTGTTACAGTGAAGCTGCCAGTGACGAGAACAGTGTGGAGGCTGAAGGGCAGGGCACAGTAGTAAAGTGATCCCACTCCATATGCAATTAGCCAAGGAGGCCTTTTAAAGGCTGCAGCCAAAATACTGTGTGTGTGTGTGAGAGGAAGGAGGAAGACAGAGGAAGTGGTTTCTTTTTTAGGATGGATGGAAAACAAGCCAACAGTGATCAATGCTCTAAAACTTCCTGGCTGCAGGAACACCAACTTTTTTCTCACCTGAAACCTCAAGATAATTACCAAAAAAAAAAAAATCACTTGAGATATTTTTGGCAGCAGAGCTCATCCCAAAAGTGTGCCAGCCAGGTGCGTGTCACCACCACACTACGCCATCTGATATTGTAATAGCTCCATGGTGCCTCCAGGTCTACTCTGTACCAGCGACTGATGGATGGTGCTCATGCCAGACTACATGTGCTCCATTTACACAGCAGCAGAGCATCTCCAACACAAGTGTTTTTATGACGTTACCAACATTTAGAGGCGGCTCCTGAATTATGGCTGTATGATTTGGCTGCTTAGTCCAAAGAAATCACTACCCTCTCTGCAAATCACAAAACTACACTTGTCCTCAAATGAATGAATGAATGAATCAAACTCCATGAATAAGATATTTTCATGTAACACAAGGAGTTTTGAGAAAACTTACAAGAAAAATAAAGATATTATCCTTTGGACACCTTACAGACATATTTAGTATTAAGAAGAGACATTTCAATTAAAAGTATTTAATTGGAAGGACAATAATATACTCCTGCATCTCCTTTTTTTTTTTGTATTATCGATGAAAACCACATGACGTGGCTAAATGAAAACTGAAACACTTTCAGTAAGTGTGTAGTTTGTTCCAAGAAATTTTTGTTAATCCTTTATTATAGTTTTATAGCTGAGGACAGTCTGATGCACTGTCTTAACACATCACCACTGAAGTAATCCAGAAGGGCTGTACACGTTTACATTACAGTTGCATTCAGATTTCCAACTCTTTGTTTAAAATTATTGTCCTATAATCATGTATTCATCAATTTGTCAACAACCAACAGTGATAACCAATTAATTATTTAAGCGATTCTTTAAGCAAAAATGCAAAACATGTTCAGTTCCATGTGAGGATTTTGCAGCTTTTCTGTTTTATGTAATTTGGGGTTTTGGACTGTTAGTTAAGTGTGATGGGCATTTTCCACTGTTCTCTGACAACCTCATTATTCAATAGAAAAAACAACCAGCAAATTAGTTTAACATGAAACCAGTCATTAGTTGCAGCCCTCGAGGATCTTTGAGATAGTTTGCATCTCCTCCATTTTTAGGTGAAATTCAAAAGTTAAGTTAGGAAAAACTTAAAAAGCTATTATCAAATATTGGTCTATTATTGGATTTTCTTTTTTCCCCACTCCTTGCACGTTGGCGATAGTTTGGTTTGATCTTCACCTTTCCTTCTGCATGTGATTTGATTGTTAACATCTGAAACCTTTTATATCTAAATCAAGTTGTCATTTCAGATTAAAATTAAAAGAACCAGAAAAGCATGCACAGAATAGTTATCCACAGTTATCTTTATCATCATCATCATCATCATCATCATTATTATTATGATTTTACATCTCAGCAACACAATGCAGAATAAAAACACTTTCTGTCAAAGCAAAGCTCTTTAGAGGGCGCTGCAGGTGATTGGTCGTCGTGAGCCGAGGCATACAGCGAAGTTAGAGGCCCAGAGCGTTACAGTGCATGGAGTGCTGAATGTGTTGGGGCACAAAGACGGCAGAAATAAAGACAAAAGGGACAGAAATTGTGTTTTACAATTAACATTTGAAATGATGAAGGCACTTGAAAATGACAAGGTCAAACAAAATGTAAACTATACTTTGGTGTTTCATTTTTACCTCTTTACGTAAGATTTCATTAAACTGCTTTTCTTTTTTCTTCTTCTTTTTTTTTTTTTTTTTAAATACAAAATTAACCAAAAGACTGAGGAAGATCTTGGGTGGATAATAATGAGAATAAATATGAAACAAAATTTAAATCATACTCAAATAAAAAATAAGTCAAGTTTGAATTTGAATCAAACACTTTTACTAAGCTTGTTTATTAGATATTTAGCCAATGCTGATCTATAGAAGAAACCATAAAGTGCATCTTTGGATGGATGGGAAAAACAACACTGAATGGAAATGCTATTGACTCTTCCAGCCCACAAAGAACTCATAAACAGTTACTGATTGGTTTGGGTTACACTTCAACAAATTGCTCCCAAATTTAAACCGTTGACTGGACTGAAAACAAATATAACACAAAGCAAACTAAAATCAAAGAACTAAAAGACAATAAGCATCAACATAAACAAACCTTTAAAATTATCTCTGTGCGTTCTGCTTCCAATAAGGCAAAGCATTTTAAGACAAACTTCAGGCACATTTCGACACATCTGGCAGATGTAGTATCTTCTCGCACTGTTTCAAACTGTTAAAAAACATTATTTATTACCAATTATTTTGTTTTAAACATCACTGAAACAAATATATTCTAGCAACACTGACTCAAAACCATTGGCAACAACTAAAGTGAAAAAAAAAAAAGGCAGATTCAGATTCAGTATTAACTGACACTCTGGACATCGGTAAATAGACTTAAATCAGATTATGGTCCATAGAAAGACATGGCCACATTCACCTTAGTGCTCCTCGCAATGTCACTGACTTCAGTGTGGTTATTTAGAGCAAAAAAAAAAAAAAAGAAAGAAAAATCAGTCAAGTGTAAGGGCAGTAATACTTAGAAGAGTGTTAACTAACTGTGCAGGAGGGGAATGCCCATCCTAACCACAGCATCTCTTAAAACACTTCCAGTAACAAAGTATAAAGCTACACGCAGGCAGATTCGGCAACTTGGTCAACAGCACAAAATCTCGGAAAATAGCAAAATACACTGAAGGTGAGGGAAAAGAGGAGAAGGTGCTTGTAAGGAGAAAACCACTCACCACTGCTTAGGTGTTAAGCAGATCATCGTGGTTCTCCAGTGCAGTCTTCCTCTCTCCATTTAATTTAGTGTAATCCACAGAGAGGTGAAATTATCCACATTGGACTACCGGGGTTTCAGAAAGGAGTGTGTGTGTGTGTGTGTGTGTGTGTGTGTGTGTGTGTGTGTGTGTGTGTGTGTGTGTGTGTGTGTGTTGCCTGCTGCCTCTTACAACATGCCACGCTCTCGTTCTTTGGCTTTCAGGTGAGGGCCTCATGTGAGGGCCCGTCGTCACTCTTCACATGGCCTCATTTCCACCTCTCACTGTCCAATCAGTGCCTCTTTCTGTGGTTGTTGTTGTGGGGAGTGTGGCCGTTCTGCATGTGGCCGTTTTTCGATTTTTCCCTCCGCTCGTGATCGTCGTCTTCATCTTCTGACTCGGTCTCCTCCTTGTCACTCCGCTCGTCCTCAACAATGTCCTGTCAGGTGAAGCAAGACATAAAATTTGTACAGTTGCAAATCTGAGATGACTGTGTTACATGATGGGGAAAATAAAAACTGAAAGTGGTGGTTCATACATTTCCTGGCAGGAATTTGATGACCATTCGCAAGATTAGTGCAGCCCAGAAGATGTGCAGAATCTGCAGCACAAACATCAACCCATTGAAGAAGTAGAAACCGAGGAAGGGGGGGTAGAGGGTCAGGGGGTACACCCATGTCGTATGTGTGATCCTGGATGACAGAACAAAGGCACAACAGAGAATCCAGTCAGAGCCACCTACAGTCACATTCAAAAGCCCATTGAGAGGGGCCAGGAGTGAAGACAATGTGTCTGTTGTTGTGTTTCCAGCAAAATGTTACAAAACTTTTAAACATATTTATGAAATTTCTGCAGAAAAAAAAAAAAAAAAAAAAGGGAATCAGCGCATCCTTCAGTGCATGTCTACATGCTAATATATTCAAGAGGACTTGAACATATTGCATAATTAAACTGAGCACCAGTAGCTCTGATATACATCATGGTATTTCATTGCTGCTTCCCACCTAAGAACCAGGGACATTATAGTCTGAACAACCCCACAACCTTGTTTGTATTGTTTTTAATTTTGAATGCTTTCTGGTGGGTCAAAAGCCTGTTACAATGTCAATGGAAGGAACAGCAACGTTAAAGGATAATGCTCAAATTATTATTTTTCAGTTGTCAACAAATCATGAAAAGATCAGTTTAACTTAAAAGGCAAAGTAACTTCTTAAAACAGCTGCAGTTTTTAGCAAACGTCACTCCAACATTAATAAACTGTGCATTTGTGGGGGATTGTTTTCAGCTGCGGATTAATACAAATTTGAGTCAATAGTGAGGAGGTGTGTGGGGGATTAAGTCAAAATGACCAAAGTGTCTATGTTCACTGCAATGAAGCAATTAACAATTAAGCACAGAGGAATACACTGTATCAAAATCTCAAACTTTGCTGACAAAAAATAGAAAATGTTGTGAAAAATCTGATTGTCAGCCTTTATTTTGACACGCCAACTGCCCTATCTGAGTCAAGCATAAAAAATAAAAAAAATCGACTTTTTTTTTTTTAAACATCAACTAAAAATGTCCACACAAATAACTTTGTGACACATAGCCAAATAAGAGCAAAGAAGGGCCAAAAAAAATATCGTTGTTGTAATCATTTCTCAAATGTTCTCGTGAGACAGTAATATCAGTGACTCATTACAGTTACAGTAAATCTTATACAACATCATTTACCAGAAGGGGAGGATGATGAGGCGGGTGATGATGAAAACGGCAGCAAACACAGTGAAGATGAAGTTGCAGGTTTTCCTCCAACCTGCATAGTTGAACATTTTGGCTGACTGGAATGAAAAGAGAGATCAGTGTCACCTTTTCAATTATTCCCCTCTAGAGGGCAGACAGTGAACTGTATGGGAAGGACAGTGCTCTGATCTTTACACTTATCATGAAGCTAATAAACAATGAAGAGGTTATGAGGTAAATGAATAAAACATTAACTTAATCCCCTAAATTATACTTTTTCTGCCATGTTAGGATATTGTCATACCTCCATTAGATAGTCAGAGGCATCGTGTACCAACATGATCAAAGTCCCTGCCCGGATGTAGTTGACCAGCCAGGAGAAACTTATAAGGAGGATGGTGGCTACATGGTGAACTATCTGCTCTTTGAAATCCTGCAGAAAAAACAAAAAGCAGAGATAGAAAGGGATGATGTAAAAACAAAGTCCAACAGTGTTTGGTCACCGACTGATCAAGCAGTAAAGATTGGTCACTAATCGACAGTGTGTGTCTGATTAATGCTGGTTTTACAAATGATTAACTCTCCGCACATAACAGATGGGTGGCCATGGTTAACAACAAGTTCAGTGAGTTTAGTTGTGGGTAGATAAAAGTAGATTGCTAATACTTTTATCTAGCTACAACTAAACTCACAGCATCTCTATCAACAGTCTCATTTGCGCTATGTGTTACCTATTGAACATATCTTCTCCTTTTATTTTCTGTATATGTTACTAATCACTCTCATTCTGCACTGTATTTTTATTCTATTGTTTGTTTGTCCTTTTTATTTCACACCTGTCATGCAATGTGTCTAACTTAATCATCACTTTGTTTACACCTTCCATTTCATGTCCACTAGTCATTAATTCACAATGAACAATGACCATAACATGGTACTTTAACCTCTTAAATATAATCCACTCAGTGGCATTCTTTGAATACACATACACATCTTTGGATGGCACGCTAATGTGTGGTGTCCTCTAAATAACTTAAAGTGACACTGACTGCATAGCTATAATAACATGTAATGGTGTGCCTTGTGACAAAACACATGAGAACCACTGAGCCGGACTACCTAGCATGCTAAAGAGTCCTCTTCTTCACCAACCTGAGCTCGTAGGTGAGTCAGTGGCACTCTGACGTCCTGACGCATCTGCTGCTGCTACAGTAACAGGTGACTCCTCCTCCACCTCCTCTAGCCTTACTTGCGCCTCAATGTCTCCTTCATTCTTTTTGTTTTTGAAAAATCTTCTTATATCCGTAGCGTTCACTCGTTAGCTACCACCAGATGCCTCTCTCTGTCACAAAAGTCACTGGTGTGAAGTAGATCTGCTTCTTCAATAACACACAGAGGACCCAAAATGTACTTGTGTTTTTGATCACAACATCATTTATTTAATGCATGATTGAAATTACTAATGAATAGACTTGAGGCAATTTTTATTATTCTTATATTTGTTTAAAAAAGTAAACTTTGAGATGCAGGGCTATTCAGAAAACATCCAGAACTGAAGCCGCAGATGACCAGGCCTACTGACGCCTATGATTAAACAGCTTTACAGCTATAAAAAGAAACTAAATCCATATACAGAGGCAAAAAAGGAACTTAACAAAACGTTACAAAACAAATTCTTCAATAAGAGGCTGATTTCAACATGATGGCTCTCCGGAAAAGCCCAGAAATCTATTGTTTTAGTTTAAAAGATTAGCACTGAGACGGAGGCTTTGCCATTTGCCGACAGGCTTGACAGTCTGCCACCTTTCACAACAACATTTAGACCTGTGGGCAAAATGGTCAGTCTGTCTGTCCACAGTGCGACTTCCCACAGAGCTCTGGTCACACATTAACTGGAGAAGTAACATCCCTGACCTCAAGAGACACAATTCAGTTTGTTGCTCATTCACTGTGACATTTCCAAATTGACAAAGTGGAAGGGATGAGTGGAAATGAACATTATCTTTAATGGTATTCTGAACTCTGACAGCTTCACTCAATACAATGCATAAAGTCAGGACTTCTTAATGGAGAAATCAATATCCAAACCTCAGAATACACTACCAACACAACAGATCATTCTCATTATTTTATGCACTCACTGAGTAATCGCTATTGATGGAAGGCTGCTGATGGTTTTACCATGGTTTTACAGTGCAGAGAGCTAACAAAGTTTAAGAAGCAACGCTGTATCACCTACCTTACGTTTGACATCCGATGCTACGCTAAAAAGCAGTGAGAGATAGAAGCCTAGTTCGATCATGTAGTACCAGTATTGAGAAGGCAACAGCGGCTGGGGAAAAGAGAAAGAAAGATCTGTTGGAACAGCATGTTGCCAATAATTTTACCCATTAGTCAGTTCAGTAATTTGGTAAACCAATGAAAACAGAAGAGAAGCCAGTTTCTGCACATTTTGTGATTTACACGTGTGTAAATTTAAACAAAAGTGAAAATATTCAAATATAACATTAGCTGAAAGAGAAGTTTGAGGTTACAGCACTTGACATACCATTTTCGGGAAGCCATCCCACATCTGTTTCATATCATAGAACCATGGTTTCTGAGGGGAGAGAGATATTCAATATTAAGTGTCCAACACAACATCACAAACACTCTGTACAAACACCAACCAAGAATACAGATGAAAACAATATTTGTGTGTGACATACAACAGTGTGTCCACAATGGCTACAATGTTTAAATCCAAATTACTCAATTTCTGTACTTTAGTTAAGCATGTAGCATTTAGCTAAATGATTAATTCTATTTTGCTGATGAAGACACAAAAGAAAAATAAATAAATAAATGAATTAAAGACTGTTTTTCTTTAATTCAAGGGGACAATATGGCCAGTCAATCAAAAAAGATGTTTCTAGTTATGACAAAAGTGGATTTCATGGTTATATGTTGTGAAATTACACATAAACTGATTGCCAGGCAGATTCTGACACAGTACTCACATCAACAAGAACTGCCAGGCCAGCAAAGAAAGCAAGAAGGTAAAAGGTAAATCTCCAACTGTAAAAGAATGCACAGCAATCTCAGAAATCCCATAATATACTTTCACACAGCACAAATAAAACTGTCCCACCTATAAAACAACAACATGGCACCAAAGTCATCTCGGGGTTTAAGAAACCCAAATGTGATTAGATTTAAGCGAACACAACAGTTAGAGTAGAACCTGAGTCTAAAGGTTCTGACAAAGACATTTAATAATTCCCCTTATCACTTCAATAATGAGTCCTATCACTGATACATATCACTGGAATTTAAACCCTGAATCACACTGGTCAAAAAACTCCCTCTGACTGCTGATGGGAAACAGCTTTTGTTATATATTTTGCACCAGTTTGAGGCATTTCTCTTCTTGAACGTACAGTGTGCACCCTCCTCTTACTGTGGGTTGTTTTGCAACAGCTTTTGAGAAATATTTGCATCTCTTTTGTAGGTGTAACATGGTTGAACACCAAAACACTGATGATGAAATAATCCATTAGTGGACCATGGAGTGGCAGCATATTGAAATCATTTTTGACTTTATGTAGTAGCAGTTAGTACCAAAGCTTTACAGCAGCACATTCAATGCACCGCTGACAGAGTATTACCAAAAGTGCAACAGGCATGTTTGTAGGCAGGGTATGGTTTTCTAGTCTGAAAGATCTCGGGTGTATTCCAGAAAGCGGGTCTAGTGAAACCTCTTTGTTAACGCTGAGTTTCCTGTTCCAGGAACAGAGATCACTTTACCTGGGAGTCAGTTACTGTGGTAACTTAATCCGTGAAGCTACCCTGCTTTCTGGCAGGTTTTATTCAACAAAGCCTGAATGAGCTGTCTGACACACAGATGCATTACCTCATTCATACAGTCGATATCAAAGCGCATTCATTTGCAGAAGTTTACGTTGGGAAGAAGATCCAAATCCCGGTTGGATGTTAGTTTGATACCCGGGAACTATCTTTACCAATGTCATCAATGTAAGGACAGAGACTGCGACATTCAAACACTGAACATTGTAGAGTCATCCTCAGCTCAGAATAAAATCTATACACTGTCTGTGAGTCTGTGAGCATTAAATCTACTGTCAGGTTGTCAGTCAATGCCCCTGCACTGAAACATTTATTGTACATTACTGCAGTAATCACTGTAACTAATAATAAATACATTTTTTGTGACACTTAGTAGTTCAGCTGAAAAGATGATTTTAAGATTTTAATTGGACAAAATGTAGCTTAAAAGTGAGTTTTTGGATGCAGCTGTGAGCAGTTTTAATTTGTTTTAACAGTATTTCTGTTACTGTTTAAATGCACTACATGTTGAAATATAAAATATAACATAATATATGCTGTTGAGCAATATTTTTTATGTAAAATTGACATTTAAAATTTACATTCAGTTTTAACTTAGACACTTTTTCAACAAATCAAATCATCTAATCATGTCACTGGACTGGACTAAAGGTTATATCATAGGTTTCTAAATAAACTTTTGTCTTATCTGTTTGATTTCATCTTCTGCTGCCAACAACACATACTTTGTCCCCATCAGGTTGCAGCTAAATAAATATATTTAACTAGAATTCTTGCTTCATGGTTGTATCCCTGAGCTATCATGTTCATGAGATGGGAATGATTGATGGACAGACAACCCAAAAACATAATGCCTCCAGCCCTGGCTGTGGCCGGCTCAGAAAATTTTATGTGACAAATAGTAGGATTCCCGCACTTCCAACCTGATTCTGGTCAGCTGCCCTGGAACCAAAATCTCTTCGTTTCCCATGTCAGGATTAGTCGACTCAGAGTTTAGGGTTAGGTTCAGAGTTTGTTAAACCCGCTTTCTGGAAAAGGCCCCTGTTCTTTAAACCACTGTAGTGGTATGAAGGACTGAAAATGGTTTGGGGTGAATCTGAAAGTGTATTGAAGATGTTTAGCTACCTTGCTTCCCGAAACTTCTTAAGCTTGCTGGGCCGGTCCTGGTTTCTCCGCCGCCTGAACCATCTCTGGACCTGTCGCACTGAGCAGCCGGTCTGTTTACTTAAACTCTCTATGGAACTCTAGTAACAAAAGCAGGACAAGGAAAGAGAGTCAGTGCTGTCTTTAATGTTTGCAGTCATAAAATGATGGTAGTTGACTTGTCTCAAAAGACTTGGCTGTGAAGATATGTAATATTTCTATTGTGCTGTCATTCTTGTCCATTTACACCTTAAACACCAAAATCTCTGACTTCTATAATTAGAACACACATTAAGTAGGAAGCAGTGTTAGTTTTCTGAGGTAAGCAGGATGATTACCTGTGTGGGATGCTTTGATGTGCTGCAGAAATAGGATTCCAGGGTGGGATTTGGTGGAGCACGAACACGTTGCTTGTCGCTCACTCCCAGCAGAGAGGCCAGAGGAATCGCTACTGTCCTGGAAGGAGGAAAATACACCAGATGAGAAACACTGCTTGCACAGCTCACATTTGTCAGAAAGACGCATGCAAAACAGATGGGTATAACAGGCAAATGACAGATGACTCACCTCTCAAATATCTGTCTGATGACCAGGAAGCAGAGTGCGATAGGGACAGTAGCCCAGAGGTCTCGTGTTTTAGGGTAGACTTTGCCATCGTGATCCGTCAGGTCAGCCCAGCCGTGGCCTTCAGGAAACCAAATCCAGTCCGCCCATATCAGCTCGCTCAGACGAGACAACATCTTAAAGACAACACAAAGAGACAAAAGGATTTTTTCTGGGTTTTTTTTACCTCGTGGAAGGAAATTAAGATAGGTATTAAAAAGATGGTTTTGTCTCCTCTGTGATCTCCATTCATTTTCCATTATATAAATATAGAAACTCACTCAGCCCTGCCAATATCCTGAGAGGAAGGAGAGGAAACAGAGCGGGCTGAGGAGTGAGTATTGATTGGAGGTGATTAATCTCACTGGGCATCAGGCAACAGGCACCGTATCTGGGCACTTCCTGTTCCAGATGAAGGGAGGATTTTGTTATGGTGCACACAGTGCAATCAGAAATCCTGTGAGAATTCATCTAGGGAAGTAAACCGGACTTCAGTTTGGCAATGATTTCCATTTCTAGAAAAAACATTAACTATTGTCTGCAGCGGACGACACATTTACTGACACTTCAAAAGTGTGTCACATTTCCAACAGTTGCCACGTTGGACATCTCCATACACATCTAACAAAAGGGCCTGATGTTGACATTGACAGAACTTTAGAGAAAAAAAATGTTTGAATACTCAATAATGCCTTGTAATAATTAGGTGTTTTACAAAAATTATTTATCATTCATGTGTAACGCACTGTATGTTTGAATTAGGCAAAGGATATTGCACAAGGAATGCAACATGTCCTGAGAAGCTTTTGAGCAAGATCACTCGTGATATTACCCCATTAACTGAGTGTTAATCATTTCCACTATAACCTCTATAAAACAGGAATAAGCAGCTACTCCGGCAAACCTATAAAGATATTTTGCAGTCAAACTGGGACGACACCAGTGTTGCTGTAATTAGTGGCAGCTCGTCAGTGGAACACTGAGCTACCTGTGGACTTCAGTACAATACAATGTAAGATTAGCAGATTTTGAATCTGATCTTCATATTATACTGCTGTACCTTTGTTTCTGCCGCCAAAGCTTTGTGTCAAAGTGTGAGCTGAGTGGAAACTTTAGCTTGTCACACACTTCCTGACAGAGCCCATAATAAGGACTGTGTGTGTGTGGACTTTAACCCATTATAAGCTTACTAAGAATGCTCAGTGACTTGTGCAGCAGGAGTTTTTCTTCAACTAAGTATCTTTTGCAGTTCAAAGATAAACTGCCTTAGCTTGAAACAACAGCTGTGAAATATCAACCATCCAGTCTGTTAAAGTTAATCAGTGTGCGGGTTCCAATGAACCTGCTGCCTCCTCTTTGGCACCTCTCATGTCAGAAATATCAGTATATCTCATTTTCACTCCCTAAAACTGCCACTGAAATAAACACATGTACTTACTCTCAAAGCGTCCACCATTATGGTTGGCCAACTGCAGGTCATGTTAACTTTTTTGAACACTTCAAACAGAGAACGGGCTCTCTGTGGACTTATGGGATTTGAATGAACAAAGAAGATTTTACTGTCTAACAGGGGGAACTGGAAGCCACCCTGCAGGGGGTCGCAGAAGATCTCAGGTGTGCATTCTGCTTCTAAAGTACACATTTTTGTCTGTAGCTTTTCTAAACTTAACAGCTCACTTTCATTGCACAGAACAGCAACTGAAGCCAAATACCCAAACAGGTACCATTAAAATCAACAAGAACTAAAGTGTGTACCCCTGTGTTCCTTGGTGTTTATGTAAGACGTGACAGCAGCACCAGCCTTTCTGTAGCAGAAATAATTCAACAGTATGATGTCTGCTCCTGCCAGTGTGTGATTTCCTCAAGGGTTAACTGACTGGAGGACATCAATAGTTGGAAGAAGAACAGGTCTGGCTCCAGCAGTTTTGGCAGGTGTAACTGCTAGAAGGTAAAGTAAACTTGCATTTCATTTTGTTGGCCAACCCATGTTGACAGATCACCCAGTATAAAGTGTAATAAACATGTGAGACCAGTAGACTGGTGGATACAGCTCAGCTCAGGTATTTTATCAGTTCCTAATGAAACACATTTTGGATTAAAAAGGAAAAAACGTCACATTCTTAACTCAAATTATGCTACTGTACTTGGAAATGAATCACAGGCATCTGCTAAATGTGTTTTCACATTTATTACTGAAGATGCTCTGCGTGTTAATTGGTTTATTGTATTATCCTCTATCTGTTCTTAAGTTGGCATCTACTCTGGTATTACCACATCATCTAATCCAGCTTCATTACTCACCACTCAGTTAGTGCTAACACATTTCCAATTTCAGCTTTTGGAACAACCATAACGCAATGTGCTACTCTGGCACCAATGGTTTAGTGTTTCGTAACAGGTGTGGCGTTCTTGGATGGATCCCAAAAACAAAGTCCAACTGCACTTTAAATTTGAATTCACATTTCACTCCACGAAGCTCAGCTTCATTAAACACTGTACTAGAATGACCAATTATCCCCACTGCTGTCTGACATGACTTGTCTCGTATGGGTCACACTTAAAGAAAAAAAAAAAAAAGATCCTACACAACCCATAATGCCCACCTGCCTCCTAAATGGCCTCTTCTTATAAAGTCCACAGCCTGTTATACGGTACCACGAGTAGTCTTTGACCACCACCAATGGCTGCCATTTTGGTTGTTCTTGTGCACCTGTATGAGCATGCTAGTAGTTTCACACTATCCCACTGGTCTGTAAGCAGTGGCAAAAGGCTGGGAAGACAAAGACTGCAAGCTAGTAAACAATGCAGGTTTCAAAATCTTCAAAGTGTTCCCTGAGGGAGGAAATGCATTCAACATGTTTTTAGGCCTGAGGGATAATGCACCGTAAACAAACATTATCTTTGTTTATTGAGTTTTTGCCTCCTGGTACACCTTTAAAAATTGAAATTCTAAACCCCAGGGTATGATAACCCTTCATACTTTGGAAACCAGTCTCCAAAACCACAGGAGACTTCATACATTGGTTTTCACTGGCTAAGCAGTACTCATAAAGACAATAACTTTGTGTAGAAATCAATGGAACATCCATTAATAGGGATCTTCAGTGTGTGTTTTTTCTTAACTAAAACCTTGAAGGATGGAGGCTGTCCTATGCTGTGTAGACTGTAAAGCCCTTGGAGACAAATTGTTATGTTGAGGTATGTAAATAAGATTAATTTGACTTGCCTACAGGGGACAAACGAATTACTCATATCTTACATCTAAAATCCTAAAAGAGAGTCAAAGTTTCTCAGTCTGTAAAAAAGCTGCAGCAGGTTGCTTAATTTCAACTTTAGAGTTGCTGTCTTCATTTTAAGTTAAGCAGTTTGTGTCTGATACAGCTGTCTACGCTGTTTGCGTAAACCCGTGCAGGGAGTGGCTGAGTGCGCACGCATAGCGCAAGCGGGGAGTCTCCCGGACATAGCGGAACAGACAGTCTGACTCACCGAGATGGGGCTTTGAATAAGTTTCCCAACACCAAACTAACTTTCATTGAACGCTTATTACACTGGGCCACGTGTACTTCTTAGTTTGACTCACTCATATAACAAGAGAAAGCAGGGTTAACTTTGAGTGGCGACATCTCTAGCTTACGTTAGAAAACTTTTTACGCATACATAAATTACACCATAAGCGATATAAATGGCCGTTTATCTTTTGGAACCAACTTCTGCACTTCCTCAGGAGGGCCCTGGTGCTTTATTGGTTAGGCCTGAATGGTTTCGCGACCTTCTCTTATCGCGGTGTTCCTAAGCAAACATCCCCGACATCAGGACAAGCAAAGGCCTGTTAGCTCGCTAAACTTTGATGTGCGAGTCCCTTTAACGTCTCCCAACGGCTGAATCCGAGAGGGCTTCAGTTAGACGGGTGTCAGCGAAGTTTGGTCGGTACCCCCCCCGGTTAAAACTTCACATAAATCTTTTGGGGGGACGACTCTCCCGTTTCTGTCTAAAAATAGCAGTCTAAGGTGTGTGCCTCACGAGCAGTCTATGATTTGAGGCGGTAAAAGAGCTCGCACAGAAGGTTTTAAACTGTTAACAGACGCGAATGCATAGTCCACGAAGTAACGGTGCAGTCAACTTACCTCTCTTCACTGTACGCAGGCGGGCAATGTGCTTTCGAAATGTATGGCTGCTGCTCTTCCTCTGTTCCTGTTGTAGCCGTGGAGATTTCAAGTAGTTCTCGCCATCGAAAACAACAACTTGTTGAACGTTTAATGAGTTGCAATCCGCCTTTTTCTTTTCTCTAACCCTCAGGTTCGCCACATTCTCGTGGAAAAAACAACTGTGTCGCACTTTCTTCTCAAAGTCCTCCCTTGCGGTCGTGATTTCAGACTGGTCCAAACAATGGGAAAAATAATGTTTTGTTTATCACGTATCCGTCTGATAAAGGTAGTATGAATGGGGCTCGGCTTGTTACCGTTCAGCCGGGTATTTCAAGTGGTCGGATATAGTAGATATTATGGTAGTATGTTAAAAGAGGACCGGGGGCGGGGGCAGGCTATTTAAAGTGACGTGAGCCTCCACTGTGTATGAGGGGTGGTTAGTGCCCAAGAGGAAGGCTGAGAGGGGAAGGCACGTCCAGCTGATAAAATGGGACAGAGGTGAAAGTTTAACTTTTTCCTTTTAACTTGATCTGCAAAAATGTCTAAAATTCATTTTTGGCTTTGTCTTTATGACGTATTAAGGAAATTTTGTTTAGCATAAGGCTACAACATAACACGTGGAAAAAGTGAAGGGGTCTGAATACTTTCTGAATGCACAGTATGCAGCTCTCTCTTTATATGCTCTTTTTTTTGATAAAGATAATATGTGTAACAACATACCATTATAAATGAAGCATTGTGGTGTGGAGCTGCCTCGGCTTACAAATCATATTTTCCACGTGAGGGAGCATGGTTGTTTGGTACAGACCCCAGCAAAAATCACATCACACATCTTCATAATTTTATATTATTTTCAGTGAAAATGAAATTGAAAAAGAATTCCACTAAAATTGTGACTCATATTGCATTAGCAATATCTATCAGAAATAATCGCAATATTATTATTATTGTGATTTTTGCATATCGTTCAACCCTACTATAGATAATTTGACATATATAAATTGATAAAATGCTATTTGATTTTCATTTAAAAAATTATGGTGTGATGAATACAGGAGAAACTTGTGGTTTAAGTTTAATTAATTTTGCATTCCTGCATATCACATTCAAAATAAATTATTGTACTTAATAATATATATTGTTGTATAATATTATAATATTTGTAATTCTGTTCCCTCCTTCTGTTCCCCTATATCTTTTCTACAGTGGCCTGAAATTCCTCTTAATCTGTAATTATTACATATCAAATTTAAAATTATTCATAGGCAAATGTTATTCTTATGGCCCCTTGTCTTCAAACATGTTTTTTCTCCACACTTTTATTTCATGTGGAACATCAAGAAGTCTTTACAAAAACAACTCTCTCTTCTTAGAGAACTGGTTTCAGAATAATGTTCTGTTGGTTGGTCAGCTGCTTCAACCAAATGGTCAGCTAAATAACTATTCTGAATTTCTTGCAGCTTGTGCCACTCCAGTAACTCCCAAAGAGTTCCCCCTTACCATTCCTTCTGGAGCTGTAATGTTGTTGAGGGAAATAATTTATCCTGTTGTTCCTTCTCCTGATCCTTGTGAAACTGCTGTGGACTAAATATGTTTCTCATTTTGTAGTCACAAGACAAACAAAAAAAAAATAGAGCTTGTTTTTAATATTGTTACAGTGTCAGTTCTTCTTAAATACATAAAACATATTGACACCTGTTGCTCCCTCTGTGAAACCAACACAGAAACACCAGTGGATTATGCCTTGGTTTTGCATCCATACAGTGAATGTGTTGTTCTCAACTTCATCCAAATCCTTTCAGGTCGTGTTTTTTTTTTTTTAATGAACATAAGCATGTTTGGTTAAGTAGTTTTTCCACAGGTCTTTTCTGAGTTGACCTATATTTGGCACAGAGGGTGTGGTAATGCCACAGGCACTCTCATCATGGTTTCCTGTCACCTGTACTTATTTTTGGAAAGCTGACCAGCTCAAATAGTAAATATTCATGAAAATACTGCAATAAAGATAAAAAAGAAAGTTTGCCCTACATATCAGAAAGATAGATGGAAGGTTAAAGGTTAGCCTGTGCGCTGCATGCATGTATGGTATTGGATATTTCAACTGGGTGGTAGCGAGGCTTGTGCTGTGTGCTCGAATGTTGCTTCTTACCTCAAATTTAATGACAAAACTATCTTTAGTGTACTCTACATATTGTTCTTTCTTGATTTTCTCGCACACCTGATGGCTTTCATTATCATCTGGGGCCTTAAAGGTTAACTTGAAATTACTATGCTTATGAAATATCATGCATTATCATTAAATAACAATACATTGCAATGCATGGGCTCCCTGATGTTCTGCCATCTGACCGTCTGCCATTGTTGTGCGGTTACTCTGCTTTCTGTCTTCTTGTTGCTCACATGGACTTTGTTGTGTAGTCATATCGGAATGAATAATAAAAAGTGACTCAAATATTTTACCTACACGTAGTCCACGATTTCCTCCCCCTTTCATGACCATGCATTGGCAGCTCTTTTCTCCTCAAATTGCAGCAGCAGCAGCGTCAACAGTGTAAAAACGTTTCCTCATCCTACCATGTCTATGTGGCATTCATCTCCCCTCATACACACAGGCATGCCAAAGAGGGTCAAGGCATGTTTGGACGCATCAGACCAAACCCAAAACCCTGTCACAGACAGATTCACTGCACACGCCAGCTGTTAGACACACCTCAGCCTTTTCCATCTTCCTCATAACTGAGCTGGATATTCATGCACGCAGAGTCACCAGTGAATCATGGCGGGAGCTTGCTGAAGTGGGATTATCAACATTTTAACATAATTATGTCCAATTAAAATGGCCATTGTATACAGGCTTGTAATTATACTCCATACATAAACAAAAAGTATTTCATTTCATAATTTCCTTTCGTGTAAATTTCGGTTTGTTTGGTTTCACGGGTTCAAATCAACCAGGACTCAAGTTCAGATGTTTTCCACTTTCCTCAGTACCTCTTCTGACCTACAGAGAGCGGCAAACTCCCCTAAGATCAAACACCCAAACTCTGAGACAACCACTGTCTATTCTGTTGTCTGTTTAAACAAATGAAATGTCATTTCTGATTTGCATTTGATTTATCACACTAGAAAGACAGGCAGAATTATTCAGTAAACAACAATATATATAGCAGAGAGCTCTCACACTGACACTTTTTTCTAAATTGTACTTTATTTTCTTTTAAAGACATATGTTTTAAAACAGCAATTGTAGAGAATAAATAAAGAAACATTATGTTTGTTTTTTTGTTTGTTTTTTTTTTTACTTCCATAGGTACATTTATGTAATTAAAAACTCTATAATAAGTGTGTTCATTGTCTTGTAGACCGCAGGAATCCTCTTTTTTCCCCCCTTCTTAAATTAAAAAAGAAATTTTCACATCTTCCCCCTCATCAAATTGATTACCAAATAAATTAAACGTAAAAAATCAAGATAGAAAAATTCCCAGCCCTTCCTCCTGCTTTGTTAATTTGAAAAGTAGTGGCAGCAGAGAATCTTAACTCGTGAAGTTTTTAAGTCCTTTTAACTCCATTTTTAAACCAAGGTATGTACAGTGAGAGGAAATCCATTTCTCTTCCAGTTTAATTACCCAATGTTTTTAATTTACGTATAAATAATAAAACTAACTCTACATAACAATATTACCAATGGTAATCATACAGAGTAGTATTTTCTTTTGCCTCTGACTGTGTAGACTGGCCTTCTGTTAACGCCATAGACCACAAATCACACTATACAGTAGAACCCTGTTCAGTAGAATAACATCAGTGATATGCTTTTTCTTAACATGTAGATCTTGTTGCCGACAATAGAGTATGTACATAATATAAATGAATCCAGCAGTGGAATGATACAGTAGGAACTCTGGAGCACTTCTGATATTGCGGATGCTGATTCTGAACATGTATTTGTTGCTGATATTACTGCTGCTGTTGTTGTTGTTGTTTTTGTAAGCGCATACACGTGATACTGCTTTTTGTGAAGTGTTGCTCCTGTGCTATACGGTTGGTCAAACAACCAAACAAGGCTGGGACATCCCAAGTGGTTTTCTTGATTGAACTCTTAGGTTTTCCTGGAGGCAAAGGAGAGGAGAGAAAGAGAGAGAGAGAGAGAGAGAGAGAGAGAGAGAGAGAAAGAAAGAGAGACAGAGAGGGAGCGCAAAGCATTTTAAACCAAATCACTGAAATAAAACACATACATTTAAGACTTTGGAAGTGGAGTGGTGTCTGCAATACACACTGCTTGCACTGATGCCTCAGGGGGAGTCTCAGTAATCAACTAGTGTCCATGCAACTTAAATAGTGACAGTCATACTGCTGCAAGTGTATGCACGTTCTTAGAAAGTACTTTGTCATATCTTTTGGCAGGCAAATTAATTCAGAACATGCACAGTAGGAATTCTGGTGTGTGTGTTTGTGTGCTGGTGGTGTGGGGGGGGGGGGGGGGGGGGGGTGTAAACTCTCCAAGTTTTAGAAAACAGTTGGAGATTATTTCACATTTATTCTGAAAATACTCAGAACCACGCCATTCACCAAACTGTAGTTTCTCAGTGAGGAAGGATTTTAGATTCAGCATTTCAAATCATCCGCCAAAAAGTTTATTTGTGATGCAGGTTTCTGTGAACAGGACATCTGCAGGTACCAGAAACCACTAGTTAACCTGTTTTTAATGCCAGTTTATCTATATTTAATACCAATAGTCTATCAGAGCGGTAAATGTGAATCATATGTTATCTGTCAAAAACCCCTTAACAAGCAGACATTACACTCAAACCCACTTTATTTTCTTTAAACTCTACTTAGAATTTCAGACACCAAAATTTCTAAAGATATCAAATATGTTAAGGTGAATTTAAGGGAAGCCTGAATAAAATTCTGCACAAATAATTTTACATCTGATGTAAAGCTGTGTTGAGTTTGAAACAACATTAAGCTTCAATGGAGAGTTAAAACAATCTGATACAGAGTATGTATGATACTATCCCACAGTGTGGAGCCATAAGGATATTTACAGGAGAAAAAGGTGGGAAACTGTATGTTAAGGGGTGTTCAAAGTGAAATGAAATACATGAACTTGTCCTGGAAGTGATTTGTTTATTGTGGTACAGCAAAAAATTTACCAAAATCTGGTTGTACTACTGATCCAAACTGTGTGAATTTTGTTTCTTGGGACCAGAGACGTCCTCGAGTTTAAATATTGAATTTTCTTAGTAACTAAAAATCAGGCTTTGTCAGGCATGAGAATTAATTTTTTTTATTGATTTTTTTTAAACTTTTAGTCGTGTTAATGACCTGCAGATACCCTGTGCAAGACACACGATAAATTTCTGGTTGTTC